AAATACGGTCTGAATCATTTTATTATTTATACAATGTACTCTCATTATAGTGTACAACATATTTATTTTATCATTAAATATAATGCAAATATTAGCAAGTTACAATTAATATTTAAATAAATTCACTTATTATAAGTATCATATATTAAATGGTAACCTAGATACTTTATAATAGTAACCATTAGTACAGTATTATGTGCTAATATAACGTGAGTTAACTTTATTTCTAATGGTATGAGTAAGTTGTTTGTGAAACATATATATTTTCATTACTTTTAATTTAATTATAAAATTTGTTTTGAATTTTAAGACACATTTGATTTGTTAATTGAAGACATCATTTGAAAATAGTTGTCAATATTTGCGCCGATATTCAAGTGAACGTACAGTCAGTATAGCACTGAATACCGCATACTATTCAAAGGTTTGTATATTTTGTGTGCAATTTATTTACTGTTAATTTAAATACATTATAGTTAATAACACTCTAGTATAGTGTAAATTTATATATAGTATAGTGCTTACAGTGAAGTGATATATTAGACTAATTACACTAATTGCTTGCCATAAATGTACTCAAACTATACACACAATCACATGTCATATGTTGTGTTCAATACATTGAGTCAAATATGGTTTGCAAATTGCAATGAGTTTTGAGAAACACTTTTAATAGTTATAAATATCATTAATTAACAAATTTATTAAATTAAAGTATTATTTGAATTGTGTGTACAATAGACGGGCAATGGATGGCAACAGTGGTGGCAATGATCTACCGGTGCGACTGTCCCTATGGGAGCGTATCCTTAGGATAGTGTACTCGAAGGAGGAATGGGAGGCCTATATGATAGAGAAGCGACGAAAACTCAGACAAAAAGAGGACAAGAAGTCTCATAAAAGGGATGGCAGATAGGCCTACCCTTTACTTAATTATTTATGACTATTATTTTGTGACCGTCGTGTGATCACAAAGTAGATCCCAATTAAATAAAATACCAAAAATAGGCGCACAAACAAAAACACTTTTATTCAACTTAAGAGATAGTAAGAGAGTGTGAGAGTCCGGAAAGGGAAGTGTGTGACAATGCCTTAGTGCTGAGAGTAGTCACGTGAGGTTGATGTGAGCGCCATCTCAATTTAATTACTATTGAATCGACCGTTTGATTGATTTATAAAACTGATGTTCACTTATATGACACGAATTAAGCCAATAGTTGCTGTGTTTGCCATAATTACTCAAATATTTAATATATTAAACATTA